GCATTGAGCGATCTTGTCTTAGTTTCTACGCTAGGTTTTACTCATTATCATTATTAACATGACGTCATTTACGGTCCCTCGTTGTTTTGACGTCATTAATGGAAAACCACCTAACAAACTATTTTATTACTGTTGTACTCATATTTATGATGTTTCTGTAGAACAAATTTCATGATTTAATCAATTAGATCAACACTTTCTGATAACTTTTTTCATTTATAAACTTTAAAAAACTGATAAAAATCCAAAATTTTAAATTGATCTTCAACCACGCTCAGTATGTCTGTGTTCTTGTGTATTATCTAACTGTGGTGTTGTCTGGGAGATTATCTGTGTTGTTTTCTGGGAGATTATCTAACTGTGGTGTTGTCTGGGAGATTATCTAACTGTTGTGTTGTTTGGGAGATTATCTAACTGTGGTGTTGTCTGGGAGATTATCTGTGTTGTTTTCTGGGAGATTATCTAACTGTTGTGTTGTTTGGGAGATTATCTAACTGTTGTGTTGTTTGGGAGATTATCTAACTGTGGTGTTGTCTGGGAGATTATCTAAATGTGGTGTTGTCTGGGAGATTATCTAACTGTGGTGTTGTCTGGGAGATTATCTAACTGTTGTGTTGTTTGGGAGATTATCTAACTGTGGTGTTGTCTGGGAGATTATCTAAATGTGGTGTTGTCTGGGAGATTATCTAACTGTTGTGTTGTCTGGGAGATTATCTAACTGTTGTGTTGTCTGGGAGATTATCTTTACTGTGGTGTTGTCTGGGAGATTATCTTTACTGTTGTGTTGTCTGGGAGATTATCTTTACTGTGGTGTTGTCTGGGAGATTATCTAACTGTGATGTTGTCTAGGAGATTATCTAAATGTGGTGTTGTCTGGGAGATTATCTGTGGTGTTGTCTGGGAGATTATCTAACTTTGGTGTTATTTGATAGAGTATCTTTCTGTGTTGTTATCTCATAGAGTATCTATTTATGTTGCTATTAGATAGTGTATTTATTTTATCTGAAGGAATATATGTTTTTTATCTGAAAGATTATCTTCGTGTGTAGTTATCTGGTAGATCATCTATTTATGTTGGTATCTGATAGTGTATTTATTTTATCTAAAGGAATACATGCGTTTTTATCTGAAAGATTATCTGGATGAGTATCTATCTCTGTTGTTATCTGGTAGAATTTAAAAATATTCACTCACTCTTTTCCGATTTTATTTCCCCAAGATTTCAGGAAATGCATGAGCATGTTTTTTCGCTGACCAGAGCAAATTCTTCCCCACGCATGCGCATGCCGTCGGGTCCCTATGACGTCGATGCTGACGATTGGGTTATGTGGGCCTGGGGCGGTTCTGCAAATTTAATACCCAATCTCTCGGACGTCCGCACAATCAGTTTGCTTGCTTGGTGTGAGTCGCAAGTGTGGAAGTATGGTTGGTGTCGTTTTGTTTGGTGGTAGATGGTGTCTTAGGTTTGTGAGGTGTTTGGTCTCATATGGTTGTGAGATGGTTGTTGTGGTAGGTTTGTGAGATGTTATTGTGGTATTATATGCTGTCGTAGGTTTGTGAGGTTTTTTGTGTCGTAGGTTTGTAAGATGTTTGGTAACGTAGATGTGTGATATGTTAGTGTGCTATTATATGGTGTCTTAGGTTTGTGAGGTGTTGATGTGGTATTTTATAGTGTCTTATATTTGTGAGATATTAGTGTGGTATCAGATGGTGTCTTAGGGCAGGGGTTCCCAACCCCGTGCCCGCGGGCGCCATGGCGCCCGCCGAACGATTCGTATGTGCCCGCCTCTCACTATTCGACAGAGGCAGAATTTTTTTCATAAACATTATTGAAAGGTTGAAGGGGATGGAAATCGAAAGTTTGAGGGGGGGGGGGGGGGAGGGTGCAAATCAAAGATTTGAGGGGGGTGCAAATCGAAAGTTTGAGGGGGGGGGGGGGTGCAAATTGAAAGTTTGAGGGGGTGCGGATCGAAAGTTTGAGGGGGGGGGTGTAAATCGAAAGTTTTGCCCCCGGGTGACGGGAAGGCTCGCTACGCCTCTGGAAGGAGTTTGTCGATTTAAAATAGGTAGTGCCCGCCACCCTACCGATATTTTAGAATGTGCTCTATAGTAAAAAACCCCTGTCTTAGGGTTTTGAGATATTTGGTGTTGTTGGTTTGTGAGATGTTGTGTATCGTAGATTTGTGAGACGTTTGCCGTGGTATGATTATGAAATGTTTGGTGTCGTATGTTCGTGAGATGTTTGGTATGGTAGATGTTTTAGATGGTTGGTTTCGTAGCTTTGTGATATTTTAGTGTGGTATTATGTGGTGTCGTTGGTTTGTGAGATGTTTGGTATGGTATGTTTGTAAGTCGTTTGGTGTCACATTGTTTGTAGTATGGTATTCTAGGTTTGTGTTCGTTTGTGTGTTACATCTAAACTGATAACATCTTATACAACTTTCTGTAGGCTATAATGATAACATCTTATACCTATGAACTGTACTTCATCTGCTCAAGTGCTCGCTAGGTCTACATGTATTTCTAAGCCAAGAACCAAGATTTGTCAGCACCCTGTATGTATTGCTAAGCTAGGCAACGAGCTGTTCTCGATACCCTTCATGTATTTAGGTGGGGAACAATGATATATTTTAGCTTACAGATGCTTTGTATTCCAACCTTGAACTAGGCGGCTATGTTGTAGTAATACCTTCACGGGCCAAATATAGTATATAGCCACGATCGAATTTTCTTCTACTAGACTTAGACAAAATTATCGCAGCCAGTTTAACGAGAGGAATTTTATATGAGGGCCGAGGTTAGTGCAATGATTGATTTCTTTCAATAAAGTGTAATCGATTCTTATCGATCTGTCAAGGTATCGCAAAGGGTGTATCGTCTGTAGTAAGACAGCTATCTGTCTTCATTTGGTTGGAGTTACAGTCTTGGTAGCCTTATTGTATCTAGTGCTACATTGATGGCAGCCTTCTTGTAGCTAGTGCTACATTGATGGTAGCCGTAATATAGCTAGTGCTACACTGATGGTAGCCTTATTGTAGCTAGTGCTACACTGATGGTAGCCTTATTGTAGCTAGTGCTACACTGATGGTAGCCGTAATATAGCTAGTGCTACACTGATGGTAGCCTTATTATAGCTAGTGCTACACTGATGATAGCCTTACTATAGCTAGTGCTACACTGATGGTAGCCTTCTTGTAGTTAGTGCTACAGTGATGGTAGCCTTACTTCGGGTAGTGCTACACTGATGGTAGCCTTATTATAGCTAGTGCTACTCTAGGTAGCCTCCATTTAGCTAGTGTTAATCTAGGTAGCCTTATTATAACTAGTGCTACACTACTAGTAGTCTTATTTTAACTAGTGCTACTATGTTGGTAGCGCCCATTTAGCTAGTGTTACACTACTGGTAGCCTTAGTTTAGCTAGAGCTACACTGCCGGTAGCCACAGTTTGGCTAGAGCTACACTGCTGCTAGCCTTATTTAGACTAGTGCCACACATTTGCCTGGTGCTCCACTACTTAAGCCGCCACTTTACCGGCCAGCCCTACAACACAGCCCGCATGTTTGTCTAACTACCGCTACTCAGCTAAAGGTCATCAAAGAATGTGTACTCACCTACGATGGGTAAATATATAGACACGTGACTACCACGTACATGCATTCAGGTGTCAGGATTAACGGGTGAGCTAAAGCTCAGGGAGAGCTTAACGTCAAGCTCGCGTGTGGGTACTAGGTGAGGGAAATCATACTTAATATTTGAATCTCTTTCAATCCAGGATACAGAGGCAGGAGTATACGAAGAGTTAGACGGGGGGGGGGGGGGGGAGGGGGGGGGAATAAAGATATCTTGGGGGGGGGGGGTGTTGCATGAAGAGAACATGTACAAGCAGTTATTTCTTGCAGACATTTTTTTTTACTTAAAATCAAAGGGGGTGGGGGTGGGGGAAATCCGTCGGTTTAAGTATATACCTCCTACTTTCTACAGGAATTATATCTTATTTCTATTTCGTCTAGGGTGGTTGGGGGTGGGGTTTTTTCGGTAGACGTGCTCCGGGGGGTCAGTGCCCCCTTCCCCCCACCCCACGAAGAGATGAGATGTATGAAAGAAACTAAGGCAGTAATTTGGCGAGTCTCGGAGTATATTAGAAGGGGGAGTAATTTGACATGTTCGAGAGAGAGCGGGTATTTAGAACGGACCACACGAAGAAGACGAAATTTGGATGACGTGGGCAGCACATTGGAGCTAGAGATATATTTATAAATATATAATTGGGGGGAGGGGGAGGCGGTGGTGCTAAGCCTTCATTCCATACCGAGATATATAGCTATGCAAATATACATCAATAAACGTTACAAGCAGAATTTTCATATAAAATCTCATGCAAATTACGAATAAGTGAAAAAGTGTGTTAATGTTGAATGTTAGTGTTTCTTCTCACCTTCACCCCCCTCCCTCCTCCTGCCACACACACAAAGCATTATTAAATTATAATAATAAGAAGCCATTTGTAGACTCTAATTCTGGTCGCACCTAGAAACATTCAAGATAAAGGTGTTTACATTGGGATGGTCCATCCACCAAATTATAAAAAATAAAAACACAATTTCATTAATTTTTAACTGCCACTCACCCCCCCCCCCCCACCCCGTCTTTGTGTTTAATTAAAAATTTACGTTACAGGTAGGCTAATTAGAATTTTAATAATTTTAAGTAGCTGTTCTAATTAGTTGGTATTGAACTTTTTCCCGCCTCAGACATGTAATTTACAGCGTCAGTTTGCCTTGCATGTTTGCTTTGGTGTTACAGTTTTCATTATCAGCTTGTGAGGACTGATACGTTGGCAAAGGACTGCTTACTTTTTTTTTTTTTTTAAATTTAAATAGTTTAATTTTGGAAATAAGCAGACAATGAATGTTTCAAAGTTCGTTCTTTGTCAGAGACCATGAAACACTAGCTTGCTTGATAAATCTATCATTAAGGAACTTCTTGTTCAACCTGTTAACTACATGTCATATACACTTTTCAGTGCAAGCTCAGGTTTGTCATATCCCATCTCCTCTGGTGTAAGAATTCCAAGCTCATCAAGGGTAGGCTTGATTTCTTTCAACAGCCATGGACATATAATTTTCTTTTGGCTGCCACACTTCCACTGAGTTGATTCCAAGTACCTTACAGCAAGTGCATAATCATTTAGACGACGGCAAGCTTTCATAGCAGATATTATAATACGTGGTTCAGGGACAAGATCTTCTCCCGTCAGGTCATTCATAGCTTTTCTTATTTCCCATCCATCAATATCTGGGCGATCAAAGTATTTTACATATCTGTTGTCAAATTCCTCCTCAGTTTCATGATGACCATGACTTTGTCTTATGGCTGAAGTAGCACCGGTCATTACTTTCAAGCATTGTCTGGTATTTTTTTTTTAATTTAATGTTGTTTTTTTTCATAAATTTGGAATACAGTAAATTGAAGTAACAGTGGTAAAAAATAATGTGGATGAATAAATATTATTCAGAATAAACAGATGTCAAAAAGAAAGACTAAGTAACTAACATGAAAATTTGATTAACCTGTGCTCATACTAGTTGGAAGCTTGTGACATTTCTTGCAGTAGTATAAATTTATATCAATAAACTTTAGCGTCATACTTCTAGATTTTATAAAAATGTTTCAGCATAAAAAACACAGCCAGGGTTTTTCTCAACTGATTATTTGTCAGATGTCCATCAATGGAATCAGATTCTGATTTATTGAGGACATCGAAGATGTTCAATATTGAACAATCATTTTTTTTTCATAGATTCCTTTTTATGCAACCACCTTTGTTGTTGTGGAAACATATTTGTTAGTAGATTTTAATATTTCAAAATTTGCAAATCAGCTTTAAATGGTTTCTCATGAGAGGTTGATTTACAAGGCATTTGATGCATAAGTTTACACTCATAACTTAAATGATCAAAAGAAGTTTATGTTAGTAAAAATAAACACTTAGACTACTTTAAAAATGAATTCAGTTCAATAACAGACATTTTAATAAAAATTAACATTCTGTGTCTTGCAATAAAAATTAAGACATTCAGTTATAATCAGCCTCTTATTCACCATTAAACTTCTTCTGATGGTGACCAAGAACTATCATCGCTTGAGTCTTCTTCACCATATTTATTCAGCAAATATGCAGCTGTTGGTGGAACCCTCACATAGGGAATTTTACTTTCTTTAATGATATTCTTCTTGAGCAATTTAGCTGATCTTCGTGTGAGAGGACCTCTTCTTACCCTAGCTGAAGTTGATGAGCTGTGAGGTATAGGACTTAGACTGCTGGTACCTTCGACATTTTCTTCATCTCTGGTCAGGTCTCTGTTAGAATCTTCAGCCAAAGGAGTAAATGTGGCATCCATTTGTCTTGAATTGCATGGTAAAGATTTTGAAGGGGTATACTTCTTTTTAATTTTCTTATGGCTCAGTGGGTGTCTTTTTTTTTCTTTTTTTTTTGGAAACGAACAATATGATCTCGTCACTTTATTAACGGATACTTTTTTTTTTATTAAAAAAAAAAGTGGGTGTTTTTACTGCAACAAAATTATCGTACTACTGAGAAATCCAACCATGTAATAAATATAGTCAATTGTTTTTATACCCCCCTAGCTTTATGTTTATAATGGTTTCTGCAGTGTACTCTAAAAATAAATATTTAGGTGTTTTTATTCCTCACACGGTACACAAACAGTGATATATGTTATGGTGTTTTATTTGCATCTTTCCGCACCGCGCATGCGCAGTGCATTAACCAATGGTTTATGCTCTTCCAGCCGTACGTTAAACCGACATCAGTAAACATTCGCTGTTGGTTGTTTCCCCTGTTGTGTCTCTCTCTATGTTCTTTAGCAAAGAACGATCACTCTTTTCCTGTTTTCTTTTTTTTTTGGACTGACGTCGTTGCTATGGACTTCACGTTTTATTTATATAAAATGTAATAAAAAAAAATACGGCAAATGTTATTTGTGACCACTGGTCAGAATGTTCCAGGAACACCAGCCACTTCGCACGTTAATCATCTGGTAATTTCTTCCCCTTCCACTCCCTACCCACCCCCTCTTATATCCCACCCCGTCCACAACCCCCCCCCCCCCACAAAAAAACCCACATCACAAGACCAATTATTCGGCAGACGCCCAAGTTAAGCCCGGGCTAACTGCTCACAACAAGCCATCGCAGATTGAACAATCTGTCCAATAAAGCGTTGTTCGCTTGACCTCATGACCTTGGCGGTAACATTTGCGCTCATTCCCCCTCCCCCTAAAAAAATGCGCCCCCCCCCTCCACGATGACTACATATCTTAGCCACGTGATCTTGTTTGGAAAAAAAACCCCACTGTTAATTAACCATCTGACGTGTGTATATAAGAAGGAGAAGATATTATTGTAGACTAACCCGATCTTGCTTTGTTCAATAGCCCCGATTTGTACAAGTTGAGAGGTCATCAGAAACTAAATGTTCAGGACCTATTGGGTTGTTTATAGCGTCCATAGGTCACTTTTAAATATATTTATTCCATAAACATGCCGTCATAATGACTCTTTACACTAGTTATAGGTAGTCTATGTATTTATACACTATTCACACTTAGTCGATGTCTCTTTACATTATCAAATGGCCGTCCACGTATCTTTACACTATCAAATGGCCGTCCATGTCTCTTTACATTATCAAATGGCCGTCCATGTCTCTTTACATTATCAAATGGCCGTCTATGTATCTTTACACTATTAAATGGCCGTCCATTTATCTTTACACTATCAAATGGCCGTCCATGTATCTTTACATTATCAAATGGCCGTCCATGTCTCTTTACACCATCAACAGGTGTCCATGAAGGCTATTCACATTATGAACTGATTTTTCTCATGCATTTTTCTCTGTTGTTCAGTCTATTCTCACATAACCCTAATCTGAACCCTAGAGCTTCAGGATATAGACACTGAGCTCTACACCCCGGCCCTACACACACTCACTCACAGAGTTCTGTAGTTTCGTTTTAGTGTCAGGATTTCGTTCTGTAATTTATTCAGACGCTGACACCAGGCTATCTCGCATGTAAATTAACGTTAATTTTAATGAAGTTCTTATCTTTAGAGAAGCCATTTGTCGACTCTAATTCTGATGGCATCATGAAACGTTCATGATAAAGGTGTTTACAGTGGGATGGCCCCTCCACCTCTAGCACTATGTAATTCATAGGTGGCGCCGTTTATTATTTAGCTGAAGGGTGGGAAACTTTTCTGCCTCTTTGTCTCTCTCGCTATATATATATATATATATATATATATATATATATATATATATATATATATATATATATATATATATATATATATATATATAAAAGCTCCTCATTCACTTCTATAGTTCTGTATATGTTATTTTAAAGAAAAAACAACAACAGCACAAAACACTTTGACTACATAAACTCTTTCTTGTTTACCAACTTGTTTCCCTTGATTTCTGGAAGGTGATTAACTCCCTAATCCATTACTAGATTATAAAACCTTCTCTAATCTCCATCCCCCGACACCCAGCTCCCCCCCCCCCCCCTACTATCCCCCCCCCCCCCCCCCCACCCGCCACAGCCTGACACGTTAGAAACCACGGCGACCGGCTCGTGTTAACAACTCACACTGGAGATAATAAACGTTTAAATCAAGCTGGATAAACGATTAGCCGATAGCGCGCGGGCAGGGCAGGAACATTTCCAGGGAACTTTTCCAGGGAACTTTTCCAGGGAACATCAAAGCGGGCAAAATTTGGCTCCGAACTGTTGGATTTACAACTCTATTGATGTTGGCCCAAGTCAACTGTATATGCATGTTGGCCAAAGTCAACTCTCTGTTCGTGTTGGCCAAAGTGAGTTCTATATTCATGTTGGCCAAAGTGAGCTCTATATTCATGATGGCCAAAGTCAACTCTCTGTTCGAGTTGGCCAAAGTAAGGTCTAAATTCATGATGGCCAGAGTCAATTCTATTTTACGTTGGTCAAAGTCAACTATACATGCATGTGTATATTATTATCTCGCTGTCATTAAAGGCTACCTACCCATTCACCCACCACCCACTTACCTACACACACACACACCGATAACCCACCTACCTATAATTACCCACATACCTATATTCCCACTCACCCACTTTCCTTCTTACCAAGTTAATGGTATTTGTCGACTACTTACCTACCTACTTACTCCAATGTACCCACCTATTACACACTTACCTCTGATAATTACGCGCTTATAATACACACCGAGAAACTCTTTTTTACAAGCTTTTACATAGGCCACAACGTCCGTTTGTTTGTGGGTTTGAGGCAAATCTTGTAGCTCAGTTTTGACCAGTTTCCAGATACCTTTCTCCTTCGATGACAATGAAAGACTATCTAATTTTTAATCTAGTTAAATAGACAATTTAGTTTTAAAAAATTACAATATCCTATAATAAAAGGAGAGAAAACAAGTTAAAATACTAGCGATGTCTTGACCAGAAGGCACTCGAGGGTCAGCTGTTTGTCACGGTTGGCTGATTTTTATCCTGATCGGCGACCTCGAACAAACTAGGGGCAGATAATTCAATTTTAGAGATCACAAGCTACTCTGTGGATTTTAACACTATATTTTTAGTCGTAGTTTATATAGTGTTAACTTCAACAATTATATAAATAAACAAACTTTATAATAACAGGCTTGCAAAAGCATGGAAAATTTCTGATAAAACTAGCTGCCTTTATTAAAAGCTGTGGTCGCTGAAATATGTAAACGATTTCACGAGCAACCCAAAACTTTTATTAAAGGGAGGAAATTAGTTTTATTTTCTTATCTTCAGTGTATTTACAAGCTTGTTAATAAAAACTTTTTTATTAGTTTTATTTTTACCTGATATCAAAGTGATTAGCACACAGCCTATGTGAAACGTCGTTTTTTTTCATCCTATAAATACATTTAGATCTTAGCCACAGCAAGACATTGCACATCTTTTACATTCTTACGACGTCGTTTACTGTATTACACACATCTTAAAAACACGTTTTTTTCCCTCAAAAACGTTTGGATTGATTGATTTTACATTTTAGGAACGGTTCATTGACCTGGGCAACTAGAACTCGCTGAACTAGGTTCGAATCCAAGTCTCACTCGATGTGAAAAAACAAAACAACAATAAAATAATTTGCTACTGTTGATAACAGCGAAGAATGTATTATTTCATCGACATATATATATATATATATATATATATATATATATATATATATATATATATAAACAATCATCATCATAATAAATCTTTTAATTCCTTTCATTCTTAATAAAGTCAACCCCTCCCTCTCCCCCCCCCCCCCCCAACACACACTAATATTATTTGCTCTGGAAAACACGATCAGTAACTTGAGATCTTTAAACGGTAATTATCTGCCCCTTTTTATTTAACGTTCATGATCGACGAATCTCAGTATGAAAACACCCTTGTACAAAACCGTGGATTGGTAAAGTTTATGGGGGACGGTCTTTGTTGTTTAGCTGCCATGAAGTCAAAGGAGACGGCATGACCGAGGAGTATGGCATACGTCTGCTAACCGAAAGTCTCGAGTTCGTTTCCCACAAACTTAATACAACAAATTATCAATACTTGCTGTTTTTCACGTCTAAGATGAAAATAAGTCTTGCGGCTTAACATGAGCTTTATTTTTTAATTTTTATATCCCACTCCTCCCCTCCCACTTTTTGTGGGAGGGTGAAGGTGGGGGGGGGTAGATAGACTAGAACAACATTTTTTAAAACTGAAGAATTTATGTTTTATAATAAAAAATAGGTAAGTTTTAATTTTTTTAAATTTATGTTTTTGGTCTTGTTTATTGATTTTAGAAATATACGGCTAGTAATTAGTAATTTTATTTTAAAAGTTATAAATTATTTCGGGGATGGGGGAGCGCGAGGGTGGGGAAGGGAGGGGGAGGTCTCATTGATTTTGCCTGCGAAGTCGAGCAGCCTAAAATATTTTTTATTACAAGTCTTCTTTAAAAAAAAAAGCAGCTAATGTTTTTACTTCTGTAACTCGAGAAAACATGTCTTTATTCTCGGTTAGAGCAGGGAAGTTTGTTGTGATACTTTATTTCATACTGGTTGGATTTATCTCCCTTATCTTATCGTGTGTACAAGATTTATGTTTTATACTTCAAACATTAAGCACGGAAACCCATCAAACTTTTTTTTTTACTAGAATTAACTTTGACATAATGTATCTTTGAAAGAGGTTTCAGTACTCAAACACTTTAGGATGAAACATTAAACAAAAACACTAACATTTTAAATAATACACCAACACTTTAACCAATATACCAACACTTTAGCAAATACCAATATAGCAACACTTTTATCAATACACTAATACTTGAACCAATATAGCAACACTTTAGCAAATATACCAACACTTTAGCAAATATAGCAACACTTTAGAAAATACACTAACCTTTTAACGAATATAGCAACATTTTAACTAATATAACAACACTTTAGAAATTACACTAACACTTTAACCAATATACCAACATTGTAACCAATACAGCAACACTTTAACCAATACGGTAAACACTTACCACCATGCATAGGACCTACACTTCAACCTGTTCTTTAACAATTCTAACCATCTAACATTACTTATAAAACATCAAATTTTCTTTTTCTTTTACCACAGAAAAATCAAGATTGAAGCTTACCCTGGAAGCTATTTTCTGTCAGAAACCAACTGTATCTAACAATTACGTAGTTACAAGTTGAACGAAACATCGTACATTTGTCCCAGTCAAAACAGAACATCGCACATTTGTGCCAACCGAAAAAGAATAGTGCACATTTGTGGCTATTTTCTAGAGTTGCAAAACTGAGACAAATTCTGAAATAGTGTTCCTACATTCTTCTCTAACTGTAAGGCCTATATATTTATCATAAACCATTAACACTCACATATCCGTGTAAATCTATAATCATCTGCCCTAAATATGATCAGCCTCTTTGTATAGGTCTTGAACCACTGAACAATGACAAATACAATTTTGTGTGAGTCTTTAACCAGCCAACCTAACATAGACCTTTCTGTGTAAGTCTTTAACTAACCTACTCCAGAAAGACCTTTCTGTGTAAGTCTTTAACTAACCTACTCCAGAAAGACCTTTCTGTGTAAGTTTTTAACCAGCCCACCAAACAAAGACCTCTTTGTGTAAATCTGAAACCATCCCATAAAGGCAATCAACTCTGTAAGTCTTTGACTATATCACACTATTCGACCTTTCTGTGTAAATATATAGCCATACAACACAACTAAGACCTTTATTTGTAAATCTTTAACCATACCATACAACTAAGACGTTTGTGAGTAAATCCATCCCCATCCTACACAACCAATACAACCAGCTAGATGTAAGAGCCTTGACCGTATTTCCCTAGCCGTACACCATGTGTTGAGACGATACGCAATGTGAGAAAACACATCCTCAGGGAATTCAACGCTCGTGACTTAACTCACCACACTTAACAATGGAGGGCGGTGTTGACCAACACAAAAACTTAACCACCACCAACACCACCAACAGCACCAACACCACTACCGAGTGCTGGAACGAATACTGCTGGGACGAGGACACCTACTACGACGCCATCTACACACACATCGCCCCGAAGGACTATGAGTGGTTTTTCATCATCCTCTACATCGTCACTTTCATCGTCGGGCTGGTAGGGAACACGCTCGTCTGCTTCGCTGTGTGGCGAAACGAGGCCATGCGCACCATCACCAACGTCTTCATCGTCAACTTGGCCGTCGGGGACTTTCTGGTCATTCTCATCTGCCTGCCCCCCACCCTCATTCAGGACGTGACGGAGACCTGGTTCCTGGGGACGGCTGTCTGTAAGGCGGTGCTGTTTCTACAGGTGAGTCGTGTGTGTGTGTGGGGGGGGGGTATGTAAGGCGGTGCTGTTTCTACAGGTGAGTCGTGTGTGTGGGGGGGTGTGGTCTGTAAGGCGGTGCTGTTTCTACAGGTGAGTCGTGTGGGGGGGGGGGGGGGGTCTGTAAGGCGGTGCTGTTTCTACAGGTGAGTCATGGGGGGGGGGGTCTGTAAGGCGGTGCTGTTTCTACAGGTGAGTCGTGGGGGGGGGGGTCTGTAAGGCGGTGCTGTTTCTACAGGTGAGTCATGGGGGGGGGGGGTCTGTAAGGCGGTGCTGTTTTTGCAGGTAAGTCGTGGGGGGGGGGTCTGTAAGGCGGTGCTGTTTCTACAGGTGAGTCGTGTGTGTGTGTGGGGGGGGGGGTATGTAAAGGCGGTGCTGTTTCTGCAGGTGAGTCGTGTGTGTGGGGGTGGGGGGGGGGTCTGTAAGGCGATGCTGTTTTCTGCAGGTGAGTCGTGAGGGGGGGGGGTCTGTAAGGCGGTGCTGTTTCTACAGGTGAGTCGTGTGTGTGTGTGGTGTGGGGGGGTATGTAAGGCGGTGCTGTTTCTACAGGTGAGTCGTGTGGGGGGGGGTCTGTAAGGCGGTGCTGTTTCTACAGGTGAGTCGTGTGTGTGTGGGGGGGGGGGGTATGTAAGGCGGTGCTGTTTCTGCAGGTGAGTCGTGGGGGGGGGGCGGGTCTGTAAGGCGGTGCTGTTTCTGCAGGTGAGTCGTGTGTGTGTGTGGGGGGGGGGTATGTAAGGCGGTGCTGTTTCTACAGGTGAGTCGTGTGGGGGGGGGGGGGGGTCTGTAAGGCGGTGCTGTTTCTACAGGTGAGTCGTGGGGGGGGGGGGCGGTAAGGCGGTGCTGTTTCTACAGGTGAGTCGTGGGGGGGGGGGGGCGGTAAGGCGGTGCTGTTTCTTCAGGTGAGTTATATTGGGGAGGGGGGGGGATCTTTTGTCTTCAGACTGGTTTTAGAATGCTAGCTAATGTAGCTAAGGCGTGTGGTCAGTGCTATGTCTATATGATCAGAAATATGTCCATATGGTCAGCACTATATCCATATGATCAGTATTATGTCCGGATGGTCATCGCTATATCCATAAGGTCAGCCCTATGTCCGTATGGTCAGCACTATGTACATATAGTCAGCACTAGATCCATGAGGTCCGCACTATTCCCATATGGTCAGCACTCTAGTTTCTCACGTCTCTAGTCATTTGGCCTGCAGATTTGGGTGTACTCTGGTATGTTCTACACCCTCAAGTCAACATGCTTGAAATCGTTCTATAAAGTGTTTGGTTTTCGCACTCTGCCGGTAAATCACACAGGCACAGACACAGGCACACACACACATATATATATATATATATATATATATATATATATATATATATATATATATATATATATATATATATATATATATATATATATATATATATATATGTATATGTGTGTGTGTGTGTGTGTGCGTGTGTGTAATTAAATACAAATATACTTGTGTATATAAGATTGGCTTTAAAGCACATTTCTTGTGAGCTATTTCTTAATTTCTATAGGTAAATGAAAACTTTGATTGGTTTGTTGATAAAGATGAAAAAAATAAAGAAATTGAGTCCCTGGAACAAATTAAAACATGCTTAGACAACAAACTAAAAAAAAAGATATCTTTGATAATATATTAAATGTATAAGCTAAAGCGGTGAGTGTTTTGTAATCTATTTGTTTGATGTAGTGTCTTAGTGCCCGTGTGTTTTATCTTCTTCCACGCCCAGTTCACTCAAATCTTTTGAAGAATTTCTTAGAATAGATTCGATGAGGAAAACATGAGGGCTACTGGGCAGCTTCAAAACGAGGCTGAATACGTTGTTTAGTAAATTAAAGCGGAAGAAAAAATGATGTTGTTTTAATTTAATTTCTACTGTTTAAATTATAGAGATAATTTAATTTCATTCAGGTGTGGTGCTTTAAAATAATTTACCCATTGATAGATTAAATTTCTGTTTTGTAAAAATATATTTAAAAAAAAACATTCAAAATTTTATTTAAAAAAAATTCAAGAAATATTTGGAAGAACGAATTGGATGATTATTGATCATGGCAGAGTGAAGATTTTAAAAACAACATCCTATGATAAGGTAAATTGTTTCTGTCTGTTGAAGGTTATACTACAATAACATCTAAGTGATGTTTCACACGATACTACCACTTCTAAGGGAGTTTTTACACGATAAACACGTTTGTTTTTATTACTAGCGTTAGACGGATGTGCGAGATATTATATTAGAATCTTATGTGAGCACCACTATTCATACTTGTCTTCGCTGTAAATTGACCACTATACAGATATGCCTTCGCTGTAAATTGACCGTTAGACCGACTTGCCTACGCTGTAAATTGACCGTTAGGCCGACTTGCCTACGCTGTAAATTGACCACTATAAAAACTTGCCTACGCTGTAAATTGACCGTTAGGCCGACTTGCCTACGCTGTAAATTGACCACTATAAAAACTTGCCTACGCTATAAATTGACCGTTAGACCGACTTGCCTACGCTGTAAATTGACCGTTATACAGACTTGCCTACGCAGTAAATTGACCGTTATACAGGCTTGCCTACGCTGTATATTGACCATTATATCAGGTTGACCACTATGTACATAGTCCTTTAAACAGACTTGCTTAAGCTGAACATTGCCCATTTACAATGTCCTTTAGACAAAATTTACTACAATGTACAATGTCCTACACTGTACAATGTCCTCTAGAGAGAATTGACTACAATGTACAATGTCCTTTAGACAAAATTTACTACAATGTACAATGTCCTACACTGTACAATGTCCTCTAGAGAGAATTGACTACAATGTACAATGTCCTTTAGACAAAATTTACTACAATGTACAATGTCCTACACTGTACAATGTCCTCTAAAGAGAATTTACTACAATGTACAATGTCCTTTAGACAAAATTTACTACAACGTACAATGTCCTACACTGTACAATGTCCTCTGAGAGCGAATTGACTACGATATTATATTGTCAGCGATTCAGAATTGCCTATGATGTCTGTTGTTCTCTCGACCTAATTGCCTACGATGCCCATTGCCCGCTGGACAGAATTGCCGACGATGTACCACATCTATCAGAATGGAAAACCCCTGTTAACGCCAACTCCAGCGGTCACTCCGGCGTCCGTTCCTAATGGCCGGCCGCGGTCACGTGACCTGATGGGCTCCGACACACGTCACATTACATCACGTGACTAGCCCTCGGCCAGTTCTCGCCAGCCCGGGCCAGACATGTAGTACTCACCTAATATTTGCTGGACGGACCAAGTTTCCGTTTACATCTATAAACGGGGATTCCCGGAAAATTGATCCGGGGTAATGTTTTCGTAGAGAGAGGCGAGAATATGCAGATAGACAGGACTATGTCACGTGGTAATAGATGCATTAGGGGGAGAATATGCTGATAGACTATGTGAAGTGGTAATATACAAATATACTGGACTATGTGACTGTTATACAGGTATACTGGACTATGTGACTGTTATACAGGTATACTGGCTTATGTGACTACTGTACTGTTAGTAATAAAACAGATAGTGTCAGAGGCGTAGCGACCCTTCCCGGCGCCCGGGGACATACTTTCAATTTGGCGCCCCCTTGGGAGCAAATTTTCGATTTGCACCCTTCCTCGAACTTTTCATTTGCACCCCCCCTCAAACTTTCGATTTGCACCCCCCCCCCTCGAACTTTTCATTTGCACCCCCCCCTCTAACTTTCAATTTGGCGCCCCCCCTAAGGTCGGCGCCCGGGGACATATGCCCCCCCCCCCCACCCGCCCCCCCCCCCTCGCTACGCTACTGGATAGTGTTAGCTACTTCACAAGTTAAAGACAGTTACAAATACTATGGACGTTTCGACCTAAGGTCTTCGTCAGCACACAACAGTGTGGTTACAGATTAGGACAAATAAAGACAAACAGTAACACTATTTTAGACTTAGATAGGCGATGAAAACACGTAAAACACGTCTTGTCTAAATGCCATGATATCCAAAAGAAAAGACCTTGGGTCGAAACTGTCTTTAACTTGTGAGGTAACTAACACTATCTGTTTTATTACTAATTGAATTAACCTCACTGCAGCTACCTTTTGTATTTATCTTTTGACTACTGTACAGTTATACTGGACTATGTGACGTCGTAATATACAGATAAACTGGACGATGTGTCTAAGTAATGTACAGATAAAGTAGACTCTATAACGTGGTTATATACAGGTATACTGGACTATTTGACGTGGTAATATACAGAATATACGAGAATGTACATATAAATTAGACTGTATAACGTGGTAATATACAGGTATCCTGGACTATTTGGCGTGGTAATATACAGAATATACGAGAATATACAGATCAATTGGACTTTATAACGTGAAAGTACACAGGTAAACTGGACTATGTGAAGGACTAACGCAGACGTTAAAAGCCGCTAAAGATAAAAAAAAAAATTCCCGTCCACGGATGAGACTTGACTTTGGTCCCGATCAAGACGTCTTAAATGGAGGTCAAGAGCTTTTGACTGGTTCAAAAATTCAGCCCGTCGCGTTTTTTTTTTTCACCCCGTTTTTTTTTTCTTCATCTCAATCTAGAGTTGTATTCTACCCGATGTATGGTTTATGGGGGTTGGGAATGGGGGTTGGGGGGTGGAGGATGAAAGAAGAGATTCTGGAGAGTTATTGAGTTAAATCTCGCTGCCTCACTGGAATTTTTTATAACTTTTAGAAAACGATTTATGGAGCGGCGGGGCTAGATAATCGGATGCTTAGTGCGTCCGTGCACAGGGTCGACAAATTACAGACGCCAGGAGTCACGGGGCTGGCCGTGCGAGGAGAGAAGCCAGCGGAGTCACAGCGACTCGTGTAGTAGAGGTGATAACGTTGGGACATGATGGATGGTAGGGTCGCTGGAGGGTGGGGGGGGGGGATACATGCTAGAGGCTGGGAGACGGGGGGTTACAGGCTATAGGCTAAACATGGTAAGGGGTGGAAGCAGGCGTTGTAACTGAAATAGCAATATAAACATAAAGTGATATTTCAACGCCAAGGGTAGACAAAGGTACAGAATATAGTCCAAGTAAAGACAGAACAGACAGACCCGACGGGTTTTATAGGCTACGAGCCGACCCGCTGCGTATCATACGCCGCTATTTAGTTGTTTTTTTCTTCTACTTTTCAGTAATTTATAATTTGTGAATTCGACAGTACCAATGCTGCCATCTATATATATAATTCTCCTCTTCGAGCCGTTAGAAAACAAGCTGCAAACGCTCTCCCTACCTCCCCACCCCCTACATGGTTTTAGTGAGCTGTGTTCACTCTAAATGTTTACAAGCAGAGCCAACGTATTTAAACGTAGGGGGGGGGGGGGAGGAAGGGGGGGGGGGGGGGTTATGGTCCTTAACGAGCTACTTATAGTGTTTTAAAGAAATATTTTCAGTGTCAGCGTTGGTACTGTCGAATTCAAAATTATGAATTATTGAAAATTAGAAACAACTAAATAGCGGCGTATGTTATGCCGCGGGCCGGCTCGTTGAAAATATTTGCTTAAAAACACTACCCCCCCCCCCCCCCCCACGTGAAAGCAGCCTCCTCTTAGTTACCTCCTCTAAGTTTAAAATCGTTTCTAACTAAATTATCTGCCCCTAATAGCCGTCACCAAACCCGTCTCTGTGATTGTAAAATGTAAACAGAGTGAACACAACTCACCAGACAATGTGGGGGCGGGGGTGGGGGTGGTTGTGATATTGATATAGAGGAAGAGAGGGGACTGTGAGGCGAGGTTGCAGCTTGTTTTCTAACGGCTCGAAGAAGAGAATTATATATATAGATAGGCTGGGGGGGGGGGGGGGGGTGAATAGAAAATAGATGTGGGTGAGGGTGTGTGTGGGAATCAGGCTACAGGCTGGGGTTAGTATACATACTAGAGGCTGAGGGGTTGGGGGGGGGGGATGAATATATGCTAGAGGCTAGGGTGGGGGATACAGGCTAGAGGCTATGGGTGAGTGGGGTGGGAATCATGCTAGAGGCAGGGGGGACGGGATTTAGCATGACTCAATTGGTGACGTTAAAAATCATTTATAGCACTCAAGGTACGCATATATCACAGATGTCTACATACGCACTACATACACAACGGGTAAGCCCAAGCTTGTACATAAACACAACATAAATACATTCACCTGAACATACGTAAGCACAATATTATTCTACTTCGTTCTTTATCAAATAAAGAAGATTTTATCGAACACAATTAAGTACTAAGTGTCAGACATGCTACGACTCCGAATTCAGCCTGCTTTTCTTTCTGGATTTGCGTCCATAGCCTTTGTCCACCCAAGAACGAGGCAGCAGTTGTCCACAGCTAACGTGCTTCATCGGTTGGGTCCGAACTCAGGACTTTTGGTGTTAGCAATCACGCTATCCAATCTGACCACACCATTACCCTCCAATACAGTCAATACAGAAACATACTGACGCACGCAAGATACAGACATCAGTTAATGAAGCTCATACATGGTACACACACGTGACTTACGCCGTCATGCGCACTCAGACACACACACATATACACACACATGCGTACACACATACACCCCCCCCCCCCACACACACACATAGACTCATGCACACACACGCATTCACAAGTCTCAGACGGGTCCATTTACACCAGTGTCTATTTCAGACTTTTTCCTGGGGAGGGGGGGGGGGAGAAGAGGGGGCACTTGATATTTTCGTGGAGGCGTGCTAAATTTTCCGGGTGGGGCGGATACTGGTAAAAGTATATATTTCCTATATAAATTCTATTTTGTTCGGTGGGGGGGGGAGGGGGGGGTGAAAGACACTGATCCGCAAAACTATGTCTTGTTTTCACTGACTAGTGAATAAATTCCCACCCCACCCCACTCCCCCACCCCATGAACTAAAACCTCCACTTATCAACAAATCCCCCCCCCCCCCCCCACCCCCCTAACTAAAGTCTCCACTTATCAGTGAATCTTACTCACGACAGCTACACCAAAACTTTTGACTCAAACGAGACAGGAAAACGTAACTCTGACATTCATAACCAAGGGTTGCCTTCTAGAAGTGACCAGATTTTTGACTCCCTGTTCACAATGCCGCCAGTCATCGTTCGATTAATCAATTGCCAAGATGGCCTTTTTTTTTTCTCCCCCCCCCCCCTTCTTCGAGAAGTGTTTGAAAACATTTTAAATTTAGGTTCGTGATATTGAAGTAAAGAGCAAACGGTTTATTTAAGTCATGGTCATGATATTTTAAAATTTAAGTTAGGGATTCTTTCAAACATTTTCTTTTGGATTGGGGGGAGGGGGGGGGGGAGCGCAGACACTTGAATCCATTGACAGGACATTGGTTAAATAAATAAATAAAAAAATAAAAAAAGTTCTATATAATTTTTATGTCATTCATCCGGTGGTGCGGCTTACCTGTTTTTGGGGCGGGGAAAATGACACCCCCTCCCCCCAGATAGATGCATGAAAGAAGAAGTGAGTATAGTATTGAGTAGACCAACTGTACTGTGAATGTTGGAGGATTTGAATGTGAAGATGGAGCAATTAATTAACTTATAAACAACTTATTCTTTATCTCTACCAGCGTGACGTAGAACAATCTGGAACCTCTCGTGGTATATCTTGTCCTGTCTCCCGTCGGTCACGTGGTTGATTCTACCACCTGGATGTTCTATATATCTACCTGTATGGCACACAATCTTCCACTGTATGTTTCTACCTGTATAATCTACTGAAGCTTGCAATATTATTGCCTTAAATGTAGTTCTAGCCCAGCGCCTAAAGTTCCTAAGGAACTAAATATTTTCCAGTCTTATGAAACAAAAGGTCTTCGATTCGTATCTGCCTTTTTTGGCTGTAAGTCTTCCATTTCTTATGAACTTAAAGACCTTTCGCTTTTATGAACCAAAAGAGATTTCAGTGTTATTGGTATTGCGGTCTTCCATTACTTATCTTACATGTCTATAGATCTTTCATTATCTTTAGATAATGATTATCTTTAGAAAATTTATCTCTGTGACTAAATTGCTTATAACCCACAGTTCCCCCCCCCCCCTAAAGAAAACACACAAATCAACCCTTATCTCACATTGCTGACTCCAAATCAGTTTCCTTAAAAAAAACGTAAATAAAAAATTTTGCAAACGCATTTTGCGCAAACACAAAATAGCGCAAATATAAATTTGTTATACTAATACCGTTTCAATTGGTCCTAATTCATGGAAAAGATATTTAATTAAGAGATAGCTTATAGGTGGCCATTCTTGAATAGTGTTGAGGAAGTATTAATTTTAAAAATTCTCATCCGCTCTTTGTCATGTTGGCAAGATTAGAGTTAAATTTTTCTGGCCACCTTCACCAGACACGACTAGCTAGGACGAAAAAATAATGAACAGAAATGAATAATCTACACACAAAAAACATATGTAGATCTAGATAAGTTTATTGAATATAATAAAAAAAAAAAAACGATTGGTCTGCCCATACACGGCTGGGGTGACGTTTGAAATGTATCGTCTGCTCACGTCTGTTGTTTTCATTTCCGTGCTGCCAAATTGGTGCGACCTAGGGCAGTTCACTCTGTGGACTGTGGAAGTTTGGAGCCCTAGGGGTTATGGTTCTACATATATATATATATATATATATATATATATATATATATATATATATATATATATATATATATATATATATATATATATATATATGGGTTATGGTTCTACCAATATACATAGGGGTTATGCTCTAAATTCTAAACTTCACTAAACTCTTGTCAATAGTCACTTGTCTAAGCCCTTGTTAGTTTATCTATGATCTTGTCGCTTTTCTAAACCCCGGTCTCTTCTTTAAACCATTGTCACCTGTCCTTTTCTGTAAACCCAATTCAACTGTCTCTCAACCCTTGTCACTTACTAAACCCTTGTCACTTCTCTAAACTCTTTGTCACCTGTCACTTCTGTAAACCCAATTCACCTGTCTCTAAACCCTTGTCTCTTCTGTAAACCCTTGTCACCTTTCACTTCTATAAATGTTTGTCACCTGTCCTCCCCAGTCGACCTCGGTGACCGTGTCAGTCCTGACCCTGAGCGCCATCGCCGTGGAGAGATGGTGGGCCATCTGCTACCCCCTCAGGTTCAAGAGCACCCTGCCCCGGGCCCGCAAGATCATCCTCATCATCTGGATCGTCGCCTTCCTCGCCTCCCTGCCGGAGCTCATCGTGGCCCACGCCTTCCCCTTTCAGTTTCCAGCCCCCATCTCATCCTCGCTCTTTACTCACTGCAAGTAAGTCACGTGCTGTGTCGTCATCGGAGGGGGGGGGGAAGGGAGTGACATCGATATGGGTCATATATATATATATATATATATATATATATATATATATATATATATATATATATATATATATATATATATGTATGCTCACTGATGTTGGATCTACTTAAGTTTTGAAGGAGTGTGACGGCAGGTGTTATAGGTCATATATATATATATATATATATATATATATATATAGAGAGATATATATATATATATATATATATATATATATATATATATATATATATATATATAGATAGATAGATATAGATATAGATATAGACATAGACACAGACATAGACATAGACATAGACATAGACATAGACATAGACATAGACATAGACATAGACATAGACATAGACATAGACATAGACATAGACATAGACATAGACATAGACATAGACATAGACATAGACATAGACATAGACATAGACATAGACATAGACATAGACATAGACATAGACATAGACATAGACATAGACATAGACATAGACATAGACATAGACATAGACATAGACATAGACATAGACATAGACATAGACATAGACATAGACATAGACATAGACATAGACATAGACATAGACATAGATATAGATATAGATATAGATATAGATATAGATATAGATATAGATATAGATATAGATATAGATATAGATATAGATATAGATATAGATATAGATATAGATATAGATATAGATATAGATATAGATATAGATATAGATATAGATAATCTTACCTTTTTTCAGGCCAGCTTGGGACAACCTGAACCAAGGTGTCTACCAAATTTTTGTGGTTGTGTTTTTTTACCTTCTGCCAATCGTCTTGATGACCTTGACCTACACGCACATAGCCACTGTGCTGTGGAGCCGTGAAATACCTGGGGATGTGGTGGGGAGTAAAAAATCAGGTGAGTCCCTCCCTGAGTGAGCGCGCTGGACCATGCACGTCCCGGGGGTGGGGGGTGCGGTGATAGGGTTGAAGTGTAATTGGGACTGAGACAGGAAGTGACGTAAAAAAAAATTAAAAAATAAAATTAGGAACTTATTTAAGAAGGTTCTTTAATTTTAAACTGTTCTGGGCTATTTGTAAAGTTACACGGAGTGTGACATGAGAAATAATCATTTAAAACACAGCAAATACGTGCGATGTTTTGTCTTGAGTTATTTTGTTCTGAGATCATCTCGAGTCACCATTGCATGTTATGTTTTTAGCATTCGTCACACATTTGAAGTAAAACCATTGATCTTAAAAAAAAACCCAACAAATAATGTCATTAAACCTCCCCCCTCCCCCTAATGTGAAGATGTGACCAAAGAAAATATGAATCCCTCCCTCTCCCCTCTCCCCCTGGTCTAGCGGTAGAGAGCTGGACTGCTAACCCGTAAGTCTCGAGTTCGAATCCGGGTTCAAGTCAGTAGACCGTCCCTGAGTCCACCCAACTCTGATGGATACTTAACTCACGTTAGGGAGAGTAAAGGCGGCTGGGCATATTGCTGACCACACTATCTCTTCATATGCCGAGGTCACAGAAACAAGTTAACTCTACTTCACTTGCCCCATAGACCGTCAGGTTTGAAAGGGAAACTTTACTTTTTTTTACCCTCTCCCCCCCCCCTCCCCAACGGGACGATATGTCACAACAAATCTGAAACCCTCCCTCCCCATATTATGTAGGCTATGACGTCATTTGTGGACTATATGCTTAGCGTCATGGTACTATCTGGACGCCCCGAAAAAAGAAATTACTTAAATATTTGGTGTTTTTTTTAATGGACCTATTATCAGAACCTACTAGATCTATCAGATATAGAAAAAATATACGATTGTCGAGGGAAAAAAAGTACACTTTCTCCGTCCCGACGTTTTTTGCGTCATACCCATCCCCCACGATTCAGCGTCATGTCCCTGTCCCCTTCTGTCAACGTTTGTGATGTCCCCCCCCCCCCTCCCCCACCCCTCAGCAATGGTCACGTGCTCTAGTTGAGCAGCGTTTCGTGACAAGGTTGATTGAGTTCCGGCTGCGTGTTTGCTTCAATCAGCCGCTCTTTTACTCTGGGGTGGCGCTAGTAAACTCGGCCCTCGACATCATGCACCAGAAGACCTCCAGTCCCCCGGGGGGCTGGTGCTAGGGTCGTGTGGGGGGGGGTGGGGGGGTGATGGTGTGACACTGTTGACACGAACTATTACATTAGTTAGTAGGTTTAATTTGTGACAAAATAAGCTCTTTGGGCGAGGGGTGATGGGTGGTTTTTCCTGGGGGGGGGGGGGTTAGGGCGGGGGCACTTGAAACTTTACCTTCAGGCGGGGGGGGGGGGTCACTGATTAAATGTAAACGTATTTTATACATTGCAACTTTTTTTCTATTTCGCCCGGAGGTCGTGGAAGTGCTTTGGTGGCCATTGTCCCCTCCCCCCCCCCCCCCCCGGAGAAATGCTTAAAAAATAAACAACACTGCCATGGACGCAATTCAATACTTTGAGGTAGATGGAATAAACCAGGTGCGTGTATGTAGAGGTGGGTGTCATTTGGGCATTTGTGAACACACCTTATCAATCATATAGGCATATAGTGGTTAAACTATGTGTGTTGTGGTGGGGAAGTGGTGTATGTGTGATGGGGGGGGGGGAATTGTTGTGGGGAAATTAGGTGTGTGTGTGGGGGGGGGGTGTTATGAACATACCAATCACATCGTTTTATACCTGTTGTGGGGAAATTAGGTGTGTGTGTGTGTGTGGGGGGGGTGTTATGAACAGACCAATCACATCGTTTTACACCTGTTGTGGGGAGTTTTGGTGTGTGTGTGTGGGGGGGGGGTGTTATAAACATACCAATCACATCGTTTTATACCTGTTGTGGGGAAATTAGGTGTGTGTGGGGAGTGTTATGAACATACCAATCACAACGTTTTATACATGTTGTGGGGAAGTTAGGTGTGTGTGTGTGGGGGGGGGGGTGTTATGAACAGACCAATCACAACGTTTTATACCTTTTGTGGGGAAATTAGGTGTGTGTGTGTGGGGGGGGGGTGTTATGAACCGACCAATCACATCGTTTTATACATGTTGTGGAAAAGTTAGGTGTGTGTGTGGAAGGGGGATGTTATGAACAGACCAATCACATTTATTTTACACCTGTAAACCCCTCCCTAGTCAACACTACACCACCCAACTCAGGAATTCGCCCAAGGCTCCGCTCTGGTCTGTCTCAAGTTGTACACGATATCTGCTTATAAAATATCAACAAGCGTAGATAAATAGGCCTAAGTATCTTGTCTGGAATTTTTTTTTAAGTCTCCGCCCTGATACACCCTCCCTTTTCCCAACCTCCCCCCACACCTCCTCCCATATGTGGATATCCGACCCACACACACATTATTTACTTAACGATTCCTAAAGATCGTCCATTCAGGTCATTCGATACATGCCACAGAAGATATATTCCATCAGCACTATCCTACCCAGAACTTGAATGTCGACATTTTTAAAATTTTGGGTCTGAGTTGGAGATCTTAATTATTGTTAGTTATCACGACATGAGAGTAATTAGCTTTTAATATCAGCTTTAAAAAAATGATTTTAATTATTCCAAATTTTTTATTAAATTTTTATTAAGAAAACACAGATTATTTTAATACGAAGTCTGAGTTAGGGGAGGGGGGGGGACGATCCAAGAGCCAGGGGCACGTGTAATGAGTCGTAGGTCTTGTTTGATGTTAACTACCTGGCGATTTTGTGCCTCAGTTCACAAGACGAGCGAAGACAGTCGGACGTTCTGAGTATCATTAGTTACATTATACTTGAATACAACACTTCAGTTACGTCGAGGGAAAGCACATTGAGTTTCATTAACAATCTATTCAATGAAAGAACCTGAAATTTTTGAGTCCGAACTTTGCACTTTAATAATCAGCATTTAGGAACTGACATGAAATTAATGTGTATGAAATGTAAGTGAAGTTTCTCTTCCGACCTAGCGATCCAGATGAAGTAGAGTTCATATCAGAAATGTTCACATTATATATCACTGCCAAGGAGAAGAAGTGAAACTTATATGTCCTAATTATATAACCTACCTTAGACTCAAACTTGTATAAAATAACATATTCTAATTCGCTTTTGTGTTTAATTTTTTTGGTGTTTAATTTTTTTTTTTACTATAACTAGACTAAAGAAACATAATGTAACATTACAATTTAAAGACAAAGGGAAAGCACTCTTTGTGATGTTTACAAACAATTCAGCTGATCAAAACAACATATTTTTATTAGAACCGAAACATGATTGAAAAACTAGTTCTATGGATTATTTACAGGGCCCTGAATAATTTTCAGATCACTATAACCCACATTTAAATCACTCACTAACGGCCGGCAATCCATGGCACGTCCGATTAGTTTGGGCCATAGGTTATCTCCCTGCTTGCTAACATTTTTGTAAACACAGTTCGGTTCGCTAGAGTAGTGTTTCCCTGAACATCCGATTATTATACTTTTATAAAATGTTGAACTTAAAATAAAATCCTATTGTAATGCCTAAAAAATAAATACGGCCGGTTAAGTTGTTATCGTTATAGTCATTAGGAAAAAATCTTGCTTATAACGTTCTTTCCCTAAAATTTATTATTTTAATATTTATTTTAAATAAGAGTACAATATAATACAATATGAAAATCTTGAACTCTACAAGTAAACCGTAATTTTATTAATCAGAAAAGTTTAATGTCTAAAATATATATTATTGTTAACAAAATATGGTTACACATTTTTTTTACGAGCAAGTTAGATTTAAAAACCACTTTTACGTTCACTTCACAATTTATTGCATGACTTTTCTCTACCCCGTCCTTATTTAATCTAAGAATTCCTTCCTCTCTATGGACGCGACCTCCTGTATGGACTTTTGTTACTTCCCATCAGCAATGCTTGACTCCACCGGCCGGGGAAAATAAATTTCATAGTACAATTTTTTCAGTCCCGAATTGTGTAAAAAAAAAACTTTAATGAAAATGCAAATCTCCCGTCCAAGATTACGATGTCTGACTTAAGCTCTCTTTAGGTCAGGGTTTGTTGCTCTAGTAGTGGAGAATTATTTCCCCTTGTTTGTTAAAACCTTAAAGTTTGTGTGTCTCCCCCCCCCCCCCCCCCCCAACCCACCTAACCGGCCAGGCAAGTATATTGGTTGAGGATTCCCTCCCTTACCGTAAAGAGTATAGTTATGTATTATACCCTCTCAACAAGCATATTAGTTAAGTATTCCCTCCCTTTGTCCTAGCAGTATATTGTTTTTTTTTGTTCCATCCCTTATCCTAAAGAGTATAGTTATTTAGGATACCCTCTCTTATCCTAAAGAGTATAGTTATTGTTGGATACCCTCCCTTATCCTAAAGAGTATAGTTATTGAGAATATCCTCCCTTGTCCTAAAGATTATATTGGTACCTCCCCTCATCGAGTATATTAGTTGTACATTCATTCTGACCTTAACAAATATATTTACGACTATTTTGGTTGTATATTCTTTCCCCCTTGCCCACACAAATATATTGGTTCTCTACCCCTTTCCGATTATATTCCCTTCCCTTTACCTAACTAATATATTTGTTGTTTCACATTCCCTTTTCCGACGATATTCCCTCCCCTTGACCTAATATATTGGTTGTTTCCCATTCCTCTATCCGAATATATTCCCTCCACTTGACCTAACGAGTACATTGGTTGTTTATCCCCCACCCCTCCCCTTACCCTGATGAGTATATTGGTTATATATTCCCTCCCCTTGACCTAAGGAATATATTGGTTGCTTGTCTCCACCCCTCCCCTTACCCTGATGAGTATATTGGTTATATATTCCCTCCCCTTGACCTAAGGAATATATTGGTTGCTTGTCCCCACCCCTCCCCTTACCCTGATGAGTATATTGGTTATATATTCCCTCCCCTTGACCTAAGGAATATATTGGTTGCTTGTCCCCACCCCTCCCCTTACCCTGATGAGTATATTGGTTATATATTCCCTCCCATTGACCTAACGAGTTTATTTGTTGTTTGCCCCCTACCCCCACCCCCACCCCTCCCTACCCTAACGAGTGTATAGCCCTGCCCCACATCCCACCATTTAACTAAGACAGGTCTCCCCGCTTACCGCCCCTGGTGCCGGCGCTGCCAGAAATCGATGACGGCCCCCAGCATCCACGGACGACTAGAACAAGATGTTAATGACGCTGGGCTCAGATCGTGCTCCACAAAAATAGCTCCGTGATTATGAAAAAATTTCTCCAGAGTTACCGCTGGAATCGGATAGGTACAGCTAATTTAGAAATTGTACCCACGGAGAAGAAGAAATTGTACCCACGGAGGAGAAGAAGAAGAAGAAAAAAAATAGTTTTTTTTTTAAATTTTTTTTTTAGAAAATGTGTTTTGATTTACTCTCCGGATTACGGATGTAAGAGTATCGTCTGCTGCTAATGGCAGGGACATGACCGGCAGAGTGGCATGTCTGATTGGTGGGGAGCCTGACTGCCCATACATCACTTGGTTTTTATTAGCCTGGGTCCTTCTTGGGGGGCTTTTAAGATGAAGAGGCGAGTCTAGGAAGCGGGCGCGCACTTTGCTTGCAAGAACCCAAAGACCGGTCTGGATTTTTGGTCGTGGCGAATCTAAAAAAAAAAAAAAATCTCTTCAAACAGATTTTCTCAAGTTAAATTTAGTTTGACATCTCGTGGCGGTACATGCTAATGTGGGTGACGCTTTGAACCGATTTCAACCCTATCTTCTTGAAGGTTTTAATCTACGGCTGTTCTTTTATTTTTTTATCTTCACGGAGCTGAGGTCGGTAATCTTTTGAAGAGAAAAAAAAATTCCACTTTATTTTGGTACTTCTGTTTTAAAAAATATTTATTTAGAGACTCTGGGAGTTAAATTTTAATTATATACAGCACTGAGGTTACGTGTATACAGAGGCATAGCGAGGGGGGACGGGGGGCGGGGGGGTGCGGACCACACCAGGTGACACCATTTAGGGTGGGGGGTGACACCAAGGCAAAAAATTGCAAAATATATAGAGAACAATTTGAGGGGGAGGGGGGGGGGGTTCAAATCGAGAGTTTGGGGGGGGGGGGGGGGGTTGCAAATCGAAAATTGAAAGTTTGTCCCCGGGAAAGGTCGCTACGCCTCTGGGGGGGGGACACCATTAAGTGCCGCACCGGGTGACACCCGACCTCGCTACGCCACTGCGCGTATACAAGATTATTTAATACGTGTGTTTTATTTCGATTGCATTTTTCAACGAATTGAAAGATCGACATATTATATTTTACACATGCTCGCATTCAATATGCGGTTCATGCAAGCAAAACAATGTTAGTCCAAGAATTTCCTATTCTGTAAATACCAGAAACTTCATAATGTGTACAACTAAAATGTATATATTTGATTGCTGAAATCCCAACAAAACGTCCCAACATTGTTTAAACCTCAAAAGACGTCGCATTATGTAACTCCTCTAGACGTCCTGTCGTGTAAATCCATAGGACGTTCTATTGTGTAAATAATAAACGTCAAATTATGTAAATACAAAAAATATTTAATTGTGTAAATCCCTAAGACGCCCTATTTTGTAAATCTGTGCTTAACTCAGTGGCGTAGCCAGGAATTGGTCATGGGAGGGGTTCCCATACGTATAAATGTATGGTTATGGTTAAGGGGTTATGATTCTACCTATATATATATATATATATATATATATATATATATATATATATATATATATATATATATATATATATATTATATATATATATAGAGGTGTGAGTCAATTGGAGGGGTTATAACCCCCTAACCCCCCCCCCCCCCCAACTCCCATCCCCCTTGCCTACGCCACTGGTTTGACTAACTTAACAATGTGCGCTTACAAACACGAAGACCGATGATAGTATTTCATTGGCCACCGAATTACCTCTGAATTTAGGCCACTTAAAAAATGAAAATTTTCCTTCAAAGGGCGCAAACCCATGCTAGACAGTAACCGGAAGTCACAGGAGGAGCAGATTATGGCGAGGAGAAAGGCGGCCAAGATGCTGATTGCCATCGTCGTCATGTTCGCGTTGTGTTACCTGCCTGTCCATCTCATGAGTCTACTCAGGTAGGTACAAGAAGTGGAAGGTCGGGTCTACCCAGGTAGATTCTAGAGGTCAGGGGTCGAGTCTCTCAGGTAGGTACAAGAAGTGGAAGGTCGGGTCTACCCAGGTAGATGCTAGAGGTCAGGGGTCGAGTCTCTCAGGTAGGTACAAGAAGTGGAAGGTCGGGTCTACCCAGGTAGGTGCTAGAGGTCAGGGGTCGAGTCTCTCAGGTAGGTACAAGAAGTGGAAGGTCGGGTCTACCCAGGTAGATGCTAGAGGTCAGGGGTCGGGTCTTATTAGCTAGGTACAAGAAGTGGAAGGTCGGGTCTACCCAGGTAGATGCTAGAGGTCAGGGGTCGAGTCTCTCAGGTAGGTACAAGAAGTGGAAGGTCGGGTCTACCCAGGTAGATGCTAGAGGTCAGGGGTCGAGTCTCTCAGGTAGGTACAAGAAGTGGAAGGTCGGGTCTACCCAGGTAGGTGCTAGAGGTCAGGGGTCGGGTCTTATTAGCTAGGTACAAGAAGTGGAAGGTCGGGTCTACCCAGGTAGATGCTAGAGGTCAGGGGTCGAGTCTCTCAGGTAGGTACAAGAAGTGGAAGGTCGGGTCTACCCAGGTAGATGCTAGAGGTCAGGGGTCGGGTCTTATTAGCTAGGTACAAGAAGTGGAAGGTCGGGTCTACCCAGGTAGATGCTAGAGGTCAGGGGTCGAGTCTCTCAGGTAGGTACAAGAAGTGGAAGGTCGGGTCTACCCAGGTAGATGCTAGAGGTCAGGGGTCGAGTCTCTCAGGTAGGTACAAGAAGTGGAAGGTCGGGTCTACCCAGGTAGGTGCTAGAGGTCAGGGGTCGAGTCTCTCAGGTAGGTACAAGAAGTGGAAGGTCGGGTCTACCCAGGTAGATGCTAGAGGTCAGGGGTCGAGTCTCTCAGGTAGGTGCTAGAGGTCAGGCGTCGAGTCTTGTTAGCTAGGTACAAGAGGTCGAATCTACTCAGGTAGGTACTAGAGGTCAGGGGTCGAGTCTACTCAGGTAGGTACTAGAGGTCAGGGGTCGGGTCTTATTAGCTAGGTACAAGAGGTCGAATCTACTCAGGTAGGTACTAGAGGTCAGGGGTCGAGTCTACTCAGGTAGGTACTAGAGGTCAGGGGTCGAGTCTACTCAGGTAGGTACTAGAGGTCAGGGGTCGAGTCTACTCAGGTAGGTACTAGAGGTCAGGGGTCGAGTCTACTCAGGTAGGTACTAGAGGTCAGGGGTCGAGTCTTATTAGCTAGGTACAAGAAGTGGAAGGTCGGGTCTACCCAGGTAGATGCTAGAGGTCAAAGGTCGAGTCTTGTTAGGTAAGTACAAGAGTTTAAAAGTCGATCTGCTCAGGTAACTACTAGAGGTCTAGTTTACTCAGATAGGTACTATAAGTCAGAGGTCTAGTTTACTCAGGTAGGTACTGTAAGTCAGAGGTCTAGTTTACTCAGGTAGGTACTATAAGTCAAAGGTCTAGTTTACTCAGATAGGTACTATAAGTCAGAGGTCTAGTTTACTCAGGTAGGTACTATAAGTCAGAGGTCTAGTTTACTCAGATAGGCACTATAAGTCAGAGGTCTAGTTTACTCAGATAGGTACTATAAGTCAGAGGTCTAGTTTACTCAGATAGGTACTATAAGTCAGAGGTCTAGTTTACTCAGATAGGTACTATAAGTCAGAGGTCTAGTTTACTCAGATAGGTACTATAAGTCAGAGGTCTAGTTTACTCAGATAGGTACTATAAGTCAGAGGTCTAGTTTACTCAGATAGGTACTATAAGTCAGAGGTCTAGTTTACTCAGATAGGTACTATAAGTCAGAGGTCTAGTTTACTCAGATAGGTACTATAAGTCAGAGGTCTAGTTTACTCAGGTAGGTACTATAAGTCAGAGGTCTAGTTTACTCAGATAGGTACTATAAGTCAGAGGTCTAGTTTACTCAGATAGGTACTATAAGTCAGAGGTCTAGTTTACTCAGATAGGTACTATAAGTCAGAGGTCTAGTTTACTCAGATAGGTACTATAAGTCAGAGGTCTAGTTTACTCAGATAGGTACTATAAGTCAGAGGTCTAGTTTACTCAGATAGGTACTATAAGTCAGAGGTCTAGTTTACTCAGATAGGTACTATAAGTCAGAGGTCTAGTTTACTCAGATAGGTACTATAAGTCAGAGGTCTAGTTTACTCAGATAGGTACTATAAGTCAGAGGTCTAGTTTACTCAGGTAGGTACTATAAGTCAGAGGTCTAGTTTACTCAGATAGGTACTATAAGTCAGAGGTCTAGTTTACTCAGATAGGTACTATAAGTCAGAGGTCTAGTTTACTCAGATAGGTACTATAAGTCAGAGGTCTAGTTTACTCAGATAGGTACTATAAGTCAGAGGTCTAGTTTACTCAGATAGGCACTATAAGTCAGAGGTCTAGTTTACTCAGATAGGTACTATAAGTCAGAGGTCTAGTTTACTCAGATAGGTACTATAAGTCAGAGGTCTAGTTTACTCAGATAGGTACTATAAGTCAGAGGTCTAGTTTACTCAGATAGGTACTATAAGTCAGAGGTCTAGTTTACTCAGATAGGTACTATAAGTCAGAGGTCTAGTTTACTCAGATAGGTACTATAAGTCAGAGGTCTAGTTTACTCAGATAGGTACTATAAGTCAGAGGTCTAGTTTACTCAGATAGGTACTATAAGTCAGAGGTCTAGTTTACTCAGATAGGTACTATAAGTCAGAGGTCTAGTTTACTCAGGTAGGTGGGTATATGTGTCCAACTATGATATTTCACACATTTTGATGTTGTCCAACGATGTGATTTCCGCAGATATTTCAACGTGGTCTATTCCGGCAACAAGTCTGACGCCCAGATTGCTGACTCCCTGATCGCCCAGTCGTTGGTCAACCACTGGCTCCCGTACTTCAACTCGGCGCTCAACCCGGTCATCTACAACTTCATGAGTGGTCAGTGCCAGTCTTACTCTTCAGACATTATCTTCCAGGGGGGAGGGGAGGGGGGACTTAAATTACCGTTGGAAAGTGGACACTGGTTAAAGTATCACTTTTATATATAAATTCTATTTCAGGGGGGGGGGGAAGATGAGTGGACGTGCTTCTTAAGGCTCTGACCCCCCCCCTTTCCCCCAAAAGAAACTGGACAGTTAATTTTATGTTTTTATGTATGTAGAGACTGGTTAGGGGAGTGTATTGGGACTTGTTTAGCGGTACCAAATTTCTGGTGCAGTTTTCTGATGGTAGCTACTTGCTGTTGATGGAACTTGTTTGATGGTTCCAGCTTTTCAGTGGGACTTGTAGAACGGTACCAAATTTCTGGTGCAGTTTTCTGATGGTAGTTACTTGCTGTTGATGGAATTTGTTTGATGGTTCCAGCTTTTCAGTGGGACTTGTAGAACGGTACCAAATTTCTGGTGCAGGTTTCTGATGGTAGCTACTTGCTGTTGATGGAATTTGTTTGATGGTTCCAGCTTTTCAGTGGGACTTGTAGAACGGTATTAACTATATGATATCTAGTGGTACCGATGTTCTGGAGGTGCCGACTTTCTGGTGGTGCCGACTTTCTGGTGGTGCCGAAGTTCTGGTGGTGCCGACTTCCATAGTACACAGCTTTCTGATAGTTGTACTTTTTGGATAATAATATCAAATTTTAGATGATGGCTTCAGCTTTCTAATGGAACCAACTTTGAAATGGTACAATTTTTTGAGATGATAATGATTTGATAAAGATCACCCCCCCCCTTTCTACACTATATCTAAAAATTTGGTAGCAGCTTTGAAAACCAATATTATCCCCCTACCTATAATCCCCAGTCGTTCAGCCATCTGGCAACGGTGTATTTACACCCGTGTCTTCCCCCCCCCCGGCAACCCTGCCCGTCTGTTACTCAAATGCACGTGCGTCCCCTGTCACTGTCTGATATGGTAGTCTCCCCTGACTTCTCCCCCCCCCTCCTCCTCCCTCCCCCCCCCCCCCTTACATACCAACCAGACAGACAAATCCTTTTTGCAGACTCAGCTTGTTAAAACAACAGCCGTTTAGAGGTGTAGGGTTAGGTACAGACACAATCCTCAGGTGTAGGGTTAGGTACAGACACAATCCTCAGGTGTAGGGTTAGGTACAGACACAATCCTCAGGTGTAGGGTTAGGTACAGACACAATCCTCAGGTGTAGGGTTAGGTACAGACACAATCCTCAGGTGTAGGGTTAGGTACAGACACAATCCTCAGGTGTAGGGTTAGGTACAGACACAATCCTAAGGTGTAGCGTTAGGTACAGATACAATCCTCGGGTGTGAAAGGTGAAGCCAGGAAGTGGTCGGTATACCTGTTGGTTAGAGACTAAATCAACTCAGTCGAGCTCTGCACTTCTACCCCGACCCCAAAACTATTACTTCGACCCCAAACACCATTACCCCAACCTCAAAAACCATTACCCCGACCCCAAACACTATTACCACAAAATAACCTTTACCCGGAACCCAAATCTTCTTTATCCCGACCCCGAGTACCTTTACCTCGATACCAGACACCTTAACCCTGACATCGGAAGCAGAGTTTCTTCCAGGCATCTCTTCGGGGGGGGGGGGGGGAAGAAAGTCTTCCCCCCCCCCCCGAACGAGATGGAATTTATATAGTAAACATACACTTTTACTACTGTCCGCCCCCCCCCCCCCCCCGCAAATGAAATGTTGACCGCCCCCCCCCCCGAAAATATCAAGTGATCCCCCGGAGAAAAAAGTCTGGAAGAGAAACTGCTCGGAAGCCTTAATCCGACCCAAGACATCGTTACCCCAGCATTTGTATCTTAAGCCCACCCACACATTTACTCCGACCCCAAATACCTTAACCCCGAATCCAGGAACCTTTACACCGACCCAAAACAGCTTAATACAACCCCAAACACCTTACTCTTTACCCCAGAAATCTTAACCCCGACCCCAGAAACCTTAACTTCGACCCCTCAAGACACCTTAACGCCGACCACAAACGACTTTACTTGGACCCCTGACACCTTAACAGCGACCCCGGGTACATTATTCCCAACTCCAGTTCTTTAATCTCGAATTCAGACACTTTGACCCGACCCCAGACACTTTAACCGTGGACTCAGGTAGGCCTACCTTATTGCCGACTCCAGTTATAACTCCAGATACGCCTACCCCAGAAATTTTACCCCGATCCCGACAACTCTACCCCGACCCCGTCAACTCTACCCCGACCCCGTCAACTATACCCCGACCCCGACAACTCTACCTCGACCCCGTCAACTCTACCCGACCCCGACCCCGACCACCCTACCCCCGACCCTGAAAACTCTACCCTAACCCCATAACGTTACCCCGACCCCCCACCAACTCCTCCTGACCTACCTAACCCACCGAGCTAGTCACCTCTTGAGATTCTAGTTTAACCTTCCGGAACCCTCTCTGCGTCATTAGTTTAAAAACCACGTGACCGGAATATTATTAATAGCGCTGTTAAAACGATACCTCTGCTTAAATACAGCGTCACAAAATAGCGAGTGAACGCGTTGGTCGTTATGGGGTTAATATTTTCTTTGGCCTTAATGTATGACATATGAAGAGATATTTGGAATTCTGTGGAATGCTTGTCCAAATACGCGCTGAAGATGGATCACCATTTTTGTTATGTGCCTTGAAAAACATAAACCGGAGTAAGTTAAAATGAAAGAAGAAAGGTAAACTAAATATTTTGAGTACGATAATAATACAACGGACGTATAAATAGGGCTTGTAAGTAGGTCACCAACTTCTCGTACTTGCCAGCTGATATTTTTTAAGCCAAATGTGAATATTTTTATTAAATCGGTAACATAAAAAGTTACTTCCGCTTTAAGTAAGTTATTTAAAATCGTAAACAATGATAATGATACTACGGATAGACCACAAGATGTGGGCAAGCTTGAAGAAAAATAAAGCCTACTTTAAATTGTGAATTTTAAAAGAAGTTTACAATTTGTTATTTTTTATTCGAATCCGTAACCGCTTGTCCTAAATGTAGTTACAATATTGACAAAATAGTAATAGCCTTTCTTAATTTTATTTTATTTATAGTAAAAAAATGTAATTGTGGCATTGTGGATACTGTTGGTATTTTAAAGTCTTGAAGTGAGCCCTAGAAACAAATAGCCGCCGTGAATTATTTTTATCAACGAAAATAATATTCAAAATTATTACTTTGGTTCGAAAAATTATCTCTCCCTGGCTAATGAGTTTTCAAATTTTAAGCGAGATAGACCGAGACTCGCAAGCTCTATTTCATAGGTTTTACTTTCTCGTGTATACGAAGTATAGAGAAAGTCTTGTAATCGTGCAAAAAAAAAATCGAGATTTTTGCAAATCTCGACGTTTTACATCTCACTGATATGGAAAAACATAATTTTGCAATCTTGTCCGTATGTCTGTGTGTCTTTGTGTGTGTGTGTGTCTGTGTGTGTGTGTAAACACGATAACTTGAGTACCGTTACAGCTAGGTTGATGAAATTTCATATATAAGTATTTTATCAAAATCGTAGATCCCTATCAACTTTTTAGCGATTTCCGATAACCGGAAGGGGTACTTTTTCTACTTTGAAGTTTTCAAAAGCCTATAACTTGAGTACTATTTCAGATAGATAAATGAAATTTCACATGTAAGTAAAATATCTAATTCTCTACCTTCTCTCAAATTTTGAGTTATTTCCGTTGACCAGAAGTACTAATTTACGCTATTTCCGATGTCTCAAAAAACGCATGTAAATTTATAAAGTACTAATAATATTGCGCACTATTATGAACATCTTTATTTGCCTCAGAAGTAATTTATCGTTTTCATCATCGCTTTTTGAGGACTGACAAAGATTTACAAAAACATTCATTCTCTATCACATGTACTATAATTCCATTAAGATGCTTTACTTACACACAATAGAAAAACTCTTTTCATAATTTTTTTTTAAACCTATAAATGCAGATGTGTACTTAAATGTTAGGTATAAAAAAATATCACTTATACCGAAAACAACGCAGTTATCATCATTTATTGAAAAAAAGATTTCTCATTACATCCAAATTTCTAAAAGAATATCTATACTGTTATAAATCTTAAAATGTTGAAAAACTTTAAATTAAATTAAAAGTTGTTCAAAAATTATATACATACATTTTTTTTCTCTAAAAACAATAAATGTTTCAAATAAACAGTATGTAGAAACTTTAGTGAATTTAGTTTATTTTGCCTGTCAGTCGTGAAAAGTAACTTAAAAAAAAATTCTTTAAATGTTACTTCCCCTACCCTAATATTAAAACAAAATGGGAAGTGAAAAAAACCTTGTTTTAAACAAGCATTTTTATCACTTCCTCTTATTTTACTTTCTCCTGTATACGAAGTATACGAGAAAGTCTTGTAATCGTGAAAACAAAAAATTGAGACTTTGCAAATCTCGACGTTTTACATCTCCCTGAATCGGAAAAACATAATTTTGCAATCTTGTCCGTAAAGGCTCTGTGTGTGTATGTGTGTCTGTGTGTGTCTGTCTGTAAACACGATAACTTGAGTACCATTACAGCTAGGTTGATGAACATTCATATATTAGTATTATATCAAAATCGTAGATCCGTATCAACTTTTGAGTGATTTCCGATAACCGGAAGTGGAACTTTTTCTACTTTCATTTTTTCAAAATCCTTTAACTTAAATACTTATGCAGATAGATAAATGAAATTTCACATGTAAGTAAAAGATCTAATTTTCTGCAATCTGTTAAATTTTGAGTTATTTCCGTTGACTGGAAGTAGTAATTTTTGCTATTTCCGATTTCTCAAAAAACGAATGAGAATTTATAAAGAACTAATAATATTCAATACTATTATGCACATTTTATTAGGCGTTCACTTAGTGTGTAGTTCTTTTTTGTATGAGATTTCATTCTATTTTAAAAAGTTTAA